GAGAGCCTTTTTGTAGGCAATTGGACACATTTCTAACTTTCTGAATTCACTGTTAGACGTGCAAAAAAAAAAGCAGAAAGTTCATGTGCGGCTAAATATCGAGAAGATATAATAAAAGTTAAAGTAAATTTCCAATAATTACCCTCTTTGATGGAAATATTTTTTAGATATTACTAACAATACGAAACGAGAGAGAGATCGTTTTTCTGTTCTTGTCAATATCCATAATGGTTTGAAACTTCTTGGCATTTCACCAATGAAACAAATTACTTGAAAATCTTGTCAGGATACTTTAGTAAATATTTTGAATAAATATAAGCTAAAAACCTATATAAAGGATCTGTCCTTTGACACACCTACATCTAATACAGAAAAATATTTCGGCACAAACATTAAGTTCTGTCAAATAAAGGAATTAATTATATTACAGCTTGCATGTTAAAGACGTAATTACAAGCTTCACTGTAAATATTTTTTGGAGGTGATTATAAAAAACTAGTAGAACTTACACTCACCTACTTATGTCCAGGTATAAGCTTTAATTTTTGTGCTCTGGGATCAGTTTCCTATGCACGTTTTTACAATTTTTAAAGTAATCAGTTATTCTACCAATTAACGGCTAGTTTACAAAAAGAAATTAATAGAGTGGTAAAATTTATTTCTATATTTTAAATTGTGTAGTTTGTGCATTCCTCATTAGTTTCCTCGGTACCTTTTCGAGACTTAAAAGTACAATACGAGATGGTCCAGTTTAAATATTGGCTAAAATCTTATGATCCAGGAACTAATAATGTAATAGAGGGAATTGAAGGAACTTTGAAATCAATGGAGATGCAAAGGTAGTATTTGGATCAAATCTTGTTTCCATTATGTCTCGCAGATAAAAAAATTGAAAATGACGAGAAAGAAAAAGTTGCAAAAGCTATTTTCTCACAACCCTTCCGAAAGGTCTTTCGGAAGGGTTGTGAGAAAATAGCTTTTGCATGTCACAGTTCACAGGAACTGTGACATGCTAGGCTGTTTTCCTGGACTTCATCCAGGAAAACAGCCTAGCATGTCACAGTTGGTAGGTAAAAATTTGTAGTTTATTTTCAGTCTGTTAAATTTAAGTGAAGGCGATGATAAACCGTAGCTAAATTGTCCTTCGTCTTTCTGGGGCTTTGTTGGCCAATTTATAACTTTCATTGAACTTGTTCGCCTACTAAACGTAGTAGTAGGCGAACAAGTACTGCTCTGAATGGGCAATTAGGCTTGTGTCAGAGTTTGTTAATTCTGTTCACAATGAATAGGACAGAAAAGATATTATGTTGGTCGTTCAGAAAAGTAGGGAGCATAGTAAGTTCGAAAAAGTACAAACTAAGGAGTATGAAAAGAAAAGAAAGGCGCTTACAAAGCATAACTTGGAGCATAGCTATTCAATTTTTTACCAAAAAAACAAAAAAAAATTTTTTATAGTTTTTCAAACTGTTTTTGAAGAAGTTTTTTATAATAATTGATTTATAATTGTTGACCTTAACAATGTCGTTATATATTTTTCTTAGTTGAAAATTTTTATATTTTACCCTAACTATTCCAGCTACTTGAGGTTGATCAAAATTGTGGTATTATAGCTGTTGAAAATAAATTAAATTTAAATAAAATGAAAATCTAATCAAACTTTATGTAAAACTAAAACTTTAAAGCAAATGGTATATAAATTCTGAAGAAAAAAAAAGTGATATGGGCGAGGGGAGGGGAGGAAACGGAAAAGGAAACAAACAAAAACAATTTTAAAGATAATTTCCAATATAGGGGGTCCCTATACTGAAATTTATTTTTAAAATTGAATTTTGGTTTAAATTAATCTTTTTAAATAAAAATTTGATAAAATTTCTTGCGTTTAATTTAACTGTTGAAAAGCATTTAACCAGAATGTTACTTTCCAAAGTCGCTTAACTGCCAAGAGACGGTATCAAAATGAACTTATTAGTTTCAAGTGGCTGCAATTTTTATACTTTTCTATTAGTAGTTATTTTTATTATGGTTAAGCAATGTTAGTTTTTGTGGATTGTTAATAGATATAAACTTATGTGAAATGTGTAAGCAGGATAGAGTTAGATGAGTTGTATTTAATAAGAAAGAAGCGTTTTTCAGTTGTGTAAGAAGAAAGTTGTTTTGCAAAAGAAAAGAACATCTTATGATTTAAAATAACACTTCGTCTAAAACAAGATGTTGTTTTTGTTTTTTTTAAATAAGCAATATTTTAACAAATTACTGCCTGCATATCTTCATTAAAGCCAATAATGATTCTTTATATGTTTTATTTTAGTTATTAAATTTAATTAACATGGTCTGAAATCTTAAAGAAATTGGAAAAAAATTGCTTACATAAGTCCTGCAAACATGAAAAGGGTAGTAGACAAAGTGATTAAGAATGGGAAAAGCAAACAGTAAAATTGTATTTTCAAGTTTACAACGTTATCTGAAAAAAGCTTGATCAACAAAGCATCTTATCTCGATGAAATAAAAAAAAATTACACAACAGAACACGCAATTTCCATTTAACTAGAGGTAACTTTGACTATTTTGAAAGTTTCCAATATACTGTTGAGGTTTTTATCATCACAACTAAAGCTTTTGATATAATTGATCACAAAGTTCTTTTAAATAAACTAAAGAATTATGGTAAAGGCGATAGTGTTTTAAATTGGCTTAAAAGTTACTTAAATAAGCAAAAGCAACTTGTATACGTTAATATAGTATCACCATTAAAATTTCTTGATATAACTTGTGAAGTTCCTCAGGGATCAATTATAGTTTCTCTTCTTTTACTTGTTTACATCAACAATCTTCGTAAAGTCTCAATGTTGATGACAATTATGTTTGCAAACGACACAAACTTACCTTTATCTCACAATAGTATTGCACAATAGTATTGCAAAATAGTATTGCACAATAGTAAAGTCTCAATGTTGGTGATATCTTTATCTCACAATAGTATTGCATTACTATTTTATAATATGATTAAAGTACTAGTAAGAGTTTCTGATTGATTTAAGCAAAATAAGTTGTCTCTTGATACTAATAAAACAAAATTGATTTTTTTAAATTCTAATTACAATAAGCATTTTATAACTTATGACATGCCCCAATCTTTTTGTTGATAATATAATTTTAAAAAAAGTAACAGTTACTCACGATGAAAGTTTAATATATATTAGTTTAATATTTTTAATGTTATTTGATTTATTTTTAAATGTAAAAATAATCTATATCCTGTACCTTTTCATAATTTGTATACCAAAAAAGAAAAGACTAAATACAATTTAAGAAATGATAATGACTTTTGTCAATCAGCATATAAAACTAATTTTGGAAAATAATGTATTTCGTTTCGGGAAACTTTTCTTTGGAATAAATTAGTTTTGAAAAACTTTGACTTTTCATTTTTTTATTAGATGGTGTTTCTATTTTCTTTTAGCTTTTAAACTTAAACAATTTATAAATGTTATTTAGCACTTTTTGTAATTAACAAGAACTAACGGTTTTCTGCAAGTCCACGTTCTTCTATTTCTTAATATTGCTCATGTAAATTTATAAGGGATTGCTTTTTTAAAATGTTGTCAAAGAAAAAAATAAATAAATTAAGTGCACCAAATTACAAATTTCGACATCTCTACTCTAGTGAATAAGAAACATTGTTAAAAGATTATATAGTAAAAACTTCCAGAATAAATGAAATAAAACGAAATGGGCTTTTTTGCACTCGGTTAATAATATTAGCATACGATTTTGCTGAACATAATAGAATATTCCACAGTCATGAAAAACTCACTTGTGAAGAAATTTAAATCCTTCTGACATCTATAATGCTGATGAGTCTATAATGGTTTTTGTACAAAACAAAAAGTGGGAAATATAAAATATATTACACTGTGCGTCCAATAGAACAATGGGATGTCAGTTTTCAAATTCAAAAAACAAAAGAATCTGCCATGCCAAGATGTTGAATTTAACAGTTTCAATAAAAATTGGCTCCCTAACCCCTACTTTCACTAGTATTAATTCACAGTTATAATTATTTAAAGGTGCCCTAGGTAGTTATTTGCTGGTACAGTGAATAACTTAACATAACTTGTTTAAACCTCATTGTTAACTTCATTGTGAACCTCTTGCTTTGAACCTCATTCTGAACCTCATTGTGAACCTCTTGCTTTAAACCTCATTGTAACGATAGATAATAAATGTTTGGATTTTAGCTGTTTCTTATCTCAAGGACAAATATCTCAATACTTTCGCTTTTTTAAAAAAAGAACTGTTTTAACTTTTACACAATTTGAAAAAGAAAAAAAACAGATCCATGTTGTCCCACTTTCCTCTTTCACTATTTTACATAGAAGTTTATATTCTAGCCTATGGCACAAGTATAAAATTTTTCACTCTTTAAAATAATTTTATAGATGCAGTGTTTTTGAAAGAAGTTTCTAATAAAAAATGGGTAATGATACTTTGAAATCAGTTGGCTCCATCAGATTTGAATATACTTTTTGCCTAAAAATATCTCAGTTTCCTGTCTTATTAGTTAAGAAAATTCTATACATAATATGTTTGACATCCTCCCTCACCCACTCCCTACACACACACCTGTATGACACCTTCCCCAGCCCGACCCCACACACACCCTGTAGAATTGCCTCTCTCTATATATATTATATAGCGGTGATTATACAGGGGTATGTGTGGGTGTGGGGGTGGGGGAGAGTATACGTCCCTCCCCCCTCTCCTAAAAAATAAAGCTAATTTTTGGGTATGTAATACATTACATACAATTGAGTCCGGTGAAATTTAGTTTTGAGGACATTTTTTTTCTTGATTAAGCAGTCTGGCAGTGTTATGTAATATGTGTACTGTATAGTCAATATATGTATATATACATTAGAGTCTTGAAGTTTGAGAACATGAAACTGATTTAAAAAAAAATTTACTTGCAAATTATATAAAAAATAACTACAAATATTTACCATAATTTGCATAAACATGTCTACATAATAAAATTGATACCAACACAATCTAAAAAATACAATATAAAAGTTTTTTGTATATATATATATATATGTATATATATATATATATATATATATATATATATATATATATATATATATATATATATATATATATATATATATATATATATGTACGTGTGTGTGTGTGTGTGTGTGTGTGTGTGTATGTGTGTGTGTGTGTGTGAGTGATGCATATATATATATATATATATATATATATATATATATATATATATATATATATATATATATATATATATATATATATAATATATATATATATATATATATATATATATATATATATATATATATATATATATATATATATATATATATATATATATATATATATATGCAAACTTAATAACGATAAATAGATTTTTCAAGATAAATAATTTTTTTTCTATGTGTGGGCAAATTTTCGGTTGCGTAATATTTTTTTGAACCTTATAAATTGGCATTTTTTTAACGTTATAAATCTCGAAAGTGAAATTTGCTAGCATTGTATCTTGTATAATTGTTTACGCCGGTCAAGAGTCTTTTTTTAAAATGAGTTTAAACGTTATAAGCTATAAGGTAAAAAGTTATGAGTTAAAAATGCAAACTATAGGATTAAATGAAATATGCCAATTATTCTCTTGGTAAAGAAGGCTTTTATTAATTAATTATGTCTTAACTGACCAATGACTCTTTATAAATTCTTCTATTAACTTTTAAATCCATTATTATCAAACTTTTTATTCAAAAAAGATTCTCACAACAGGATCAAAAAGTATTTGCAAAATGTTCGTTCTAATATAAAATATGCCTCAAAAAAACGTTCACGCAAAAAAAGAAAAAAACATATAACGAAGTCCAAGTTAGGCTTGCAGTAACAAAAATAAAAAGTGGCAAACTATAAAAGTTTATATTTAAATAAAAATTCGTAACAGCCATACTGTATGGAAGAAAGTTTAAGCATATACGCGGTGTATCTCCAGGCGGTGTTAGTGCAAACGCTTGCAAGTTTGCTACCATGGCAAATTTAAAAAACGTTAAGCATGAAAGACTTTCAACATGCACGTTTCAATCCATTAATTTTAATGACTTTTATTTAAGTTAAAAGTTAAAAACAATTTCAAAAACATCTTTTTTTGGAATTATTTAAAAAGAATAATTCAAAAAAAAATCTTCGCTATAAAAAATCAAAGCGATCTTACTAGAAAATCTACATCAAAGTTTTTTTTTTTTTTTTTTTTACCAACCAACTTGAGACACCTGTTGCTGAAACCAGACTTACACAGAAATAAAATAATTTGAATTAAATAAAATGACTTGCAAACACTTTGGCTGGAGCCGAAGCTTTGGCACTTGAATGGATAAAATTTGCTTTCTTGCAGATCTAGCTAACTAGGGATAATACTAATTGTTAAATTTTTTTTTTAATTTTACTGCAATTATAATATGTACTGCATATTGCAAAATATATGTACTTTAAAGCACAAGGTGTTTCACTGCCACTGCAAATTATTAATCTTTTTTTTAAATTACGCAATGTCATAGGCTTTTGGGATGTAGCTAAGCCTTGTTTAAAAAAGTTTAATGTTATATGGAAAAAATGACTTGCTAATTAGTAGTTACTAATTACAAATTAATAATTGAATCAGGTTGTGAATTATAAAACTAGTTTGTCTTTATTTAGTAATCAATTAATTAGTAATCACTAATTACAAATTAGTAATTTTGGCTTATCATCAATATAATCAAGTCTAAACTTGAGAATTATATGTTTAGCATACATTGGTTTGTACTTTGGAGTATAATAAAATTACTATTTAGTATTTACTAATTACAAGTGAGAAAAGTTATTGTTATTATATTTATTAGTTTATTGAGTTTAAATTAATTAACTATAGTTAGAAGTCAGGCAAATTATAATTTAAAAGCGCGATCTGTTTTCCAGATAGCGCTTTTATATTATAATTGTATTTGTAATTTTTAAATTGTAATTGTAATTGTAAGCACACCAACTATAAAGGCATTCCATTTTATGGTAATGTTGAAAGACTAAAGTAAGAGTTCACTTTGTCCATGTTGAAACAAAAAAGTATGAATCAATTTAAAATTTTAACTAATATTTCAAATATTTAACCAAGTAAGGAAAAAAGAGTATTTTTATTCTACTTATAAACATTAAAGAATAAAAATTTATAATTGATAAATAATTATGTGGTTCATTGAAAATCAAAAATATTAAATGCAACCAGGCCCTTAACTACAGGAAGACACGCCCTGCCTGAGTATAGTTTGTACATGCTTGTTAATTGATTTGAAAATTGACAAATTTAATTTTCAATTAAATTTGTAATTAATGAATGAAATAACAATTTTATTTAGATATTTTTTAATCGTGTCATTTTACTTTTAGAATTTGAGTTTTTCCTCTTGGATTTGTGCTATTATACTTTTTTTCCCCTCGATAATGTTTCCACATTTCTGTGAAGCATTTTCATTTGTACCCATTTGGTCAAAGAAGCTCAATATCTCCATGCTTATTAGTTTTCTTTTTTGATTTGATCATCACGATAAAAGTGTTTTAAGCAGTCAACTACTTTTTCTTGTTGGAAATGATACTCGAAATGAAAGCGATAGTGATCTTGATAAAAAATTTCCTAAAACATATTATGATCCGTTTCTTTAAAAAATTTAATTTGAAACGGGGTTTAAGCATCATTGCAACTTTTAGACAAACATTAACTTTGTATTTATAAAAACGACTTATGAAAACTTAAATAAAAAATAAAAAGCACCCATTGATTTTGATAAGCAGGTAAAATAAAAGTTACATTATAGTTTGCGGCACGTCGCAATGTATACTACCCAGCTAACTCAAAACCTTCAACAAACATTGCGAACGTTCTATAAACATTCATAGGACGTGCTCAAACGTCCACAACGTTTGGCGAATGTTCTTGAACGTTTTGTGTTAGCTGGGTATGTATGCCGCGTCATACGTCAAAAAATCAAAGTAAAGGAGCAAATTACAAGCAATAGAATTACAGTAATTAAATCATAAACAGTAAAATATTTTATGTTTAATATAACAGTAGCTTATTACCTTTAGTTACTTAAAAAAACTTGCCGAAGCCAATGATTCGGCAAAAAATGACCCTGGCTTTAGCCGAAGCCGAAGCTGAAGCCAAAGCTTCGGTACATCCCTAATAGTAAGCTCTCCGGAATATAAACAGTTCAAAAGCGGTGGAAATCCGCTTTTGATCTGTTTACTACTAATTACTCTAGTTCTACTACTTCTAATTTGTTCTTTTACTTTAATTCCTTGACGTATATTTATGTGCGTCACTATATTTTGACCACAAGCACGTTTAATTTCGTCTAAGATAAATACATAGATTAAAAAATACTGAAGTGAAATATCATAAAATAATCGACAGTTTTAACGCTGGATAAAAAGAAAAAAATTTCTGCATGGCTCATACAATGAGCCATGCAGAAGATTTTTAGTCGGCAAATTGGATCCTTAGTCGGCAAATTGGACCCTTTTGATATAGAACAGTTGGTAATCTAGATAGTCGGCAAATGTCGTCATGGCAGTCGGCAAAATTTCGAAAACGAGGACTTTTTTTTTTTCTTTTTTTTAGTCAGCAAAAGTTGTAATGGCACCCCCCCCCCCACGTGACACCTACTCGCGCCGGCCCTGTCCATACCAAGTTAAATTTATACATATGATACATGTTTATGTTCAAAATTTTCATTTTTGATCACTCCAAAATTTAAAAAACTCGTTTTTTATGATATATATATATATATATATATATATATATATATATATATATATATATATATATATATATATATATATATATATATATATATATATACATATATATATATTTGTATACATATATATATATACATACATATATATATATATATATATATATATATATATATATATATATATATATATATATATATATATATATATATATATATATATATATATATATATATATATATATATATATGTATATATATATGTATATATATTTGTATACATATATATATATATATATATATATATATATATATATATACATATATATATATATATATATATATATATATATATATATATATATATATATATATATATATATATATATATATATATATATATATATATATATATATATATATATATATATATATATATATATATATATATATATATATATGTATATATATATATATACATATAGGCCCCTTGGCCTCCTCAGGTTGGTTGCAGTCTTTGACTTTTACCTGACTCTTTTTTATTCTGGAGACCTTAGTAACGTAGCTGCAAAGCATTTTTATCATAAGATCATTATTTGTTTGAGGCCTGGAGAATTTCATTGTGTGCTCTATGTTGCTTTAGTCTAAAACATTAATATTACGGTGTATGAAATTATTATTTTTTACAATTAATTTACTGTTTTTCCATTTTATGGGCATTATTTAAATGAACAAAACACATTTAATACATTTAAACTATTTTTATTTTCTAGACGAAAAAGGCATTTTAGAAACGTTGTTTAAACGACATTAAAGTGCTAGATAATGTAGTTTTATCGTATTCAACACAACAACCCAGTGGGCATTTCGACGTCGAACGAACGTCGAGCGACGTCGGATCTCGACGTCGGATCGACGTTGGGTTTACGTTGGAAATGGAAATGTTATTTGACGTCGGATAAACTGACATCGCGCGACGTCGGCATTCCGACGTGTTTTTTGAAAACCAAAAAACGCTGCCTTTGGCAGGAATCGAACCTCGGTCTATTAGTTACAAAATCCTACGCGCTTACCACTACACCACAAGAACATATAAATAGATGAGTTTATTTAGTAATTTATACTTGTAGCTATTTGGGAATTATTACTTTGATAAGAAATAATTTTGTTTAAATATTATATAAATATTAAAACGAATAGTTATATATTATAAAAAATGTATACTCG